TGAGGCTTTCAGTTAGCTGATCTTTGGAGAGGGTCAGGCTCTGCTACAGCCGTCAAGATGTTGTAAATGGCAAGAAACTCAAAGGTGTCACAAAGCGAAACGACGGCTGAATGTGCTAACCAGAAGGCACGATGAGCATGGAACTATTTGAAGTGAAGCAGGCAAATGCAAGCCATGAGAGAAGACAGAAAGCGGCTGAATTACCTGCAGCCATCACGGCAAGGCCTATCTCACCAGCCAGATGGCAGCTCTTCACCGACGCATTCGCTGCAGTGTCCCTTACGCAGCGCAAAGCACGCAGGAAATTAAACATCTGAACTAGAAAACCTTTTGTAATTTCCCTGCTATAATTGAAAGCCATGTTTCTGATCCTTCCTGCAAGATACATCAGCTTGGGCAACACAAGTTATTTGGCAGGAAGGGGCACTAAAAGAATGTCAAGCTTTTATGAGAAAACATAAAGGAAAAAAAGAAAAAATTATTATTTTTTTAGGTCTCCCCGTTACCTAGGCAACCAGGGTCCTCATCAGCCAGTTATAGCACAGGAAGGATGCAGCCTCCCCTAAACCAGAGAAGCAAAAAGCAATGCAAGCAGAGGTTTCGCAGTTCACCTGGCAGGCCTGTGCCCTCCCCTGCCAGCAGGCAGGGTGCTTGGAGCTGCGTGATGACAGCCGTTCCCCAGCCCCACTTAGACGTGTTTCCTCTTCCCTGCTTCCCCTTTTGTCCCCAGTGCCGCAGCTGGCTGCTGCATCAGGCCAAGTTCAGATGCCAAAGCCTAAAGGATGAGTCGGTACTTTGAATTTTCACTGCTGGATCATACAAGGAAACCCTGTAAAAGGGGCAGATTGCAAGGAGAAAGCAGCAGAGAGAATGGGTGGCAGACATGTAGGTCCAGGTAGAGTGTTCTGTACTGGACATGAAAGATCTAGAAGTTACAAAAAGATCTTACAACAATATTGATGAGAGGACAAATTAAGCTCATCAATACTTCATTACTTCAGTATTCTTTATGTAGTTAAATACTTCTCTAGATGTTGGCATGCCTTCAATACACTTGGACACAAAACATCCTGGTAGCAACATGAAGAACTGCCTTTGAGGAAAGCCAATGACAGAACCAACCAACAAACCAACACATCCACCCAAACCCTAATCCTCACCAACCTGCTATCATTTCATCACTGCACCTTGAATACTGTGTTCAGTTTTGGGCTACTCATTACAAGAAGGGCATTAAGTTGCTGGAGCGTGTCCAGAGAAGACCAACGAAGCTGGTGAAGGGCCTGGAGAACAAGCCTTATGAGGAGCTGCGAGGGAACTGGGGTTGATCAGTCTGGAGAAGAGGAGGCTCAGGGGAGACCTTATTGCTCCCTACAACTACCTGAAAGGAGGTTGTAGTGAGGCGGGTGTTGGTCTCTTCTCCCAAGTAACTAGTGATAGGATGAGAGCTAATGGCCTCAAGTTGCACCAGGGGAGGTTTAGAGTAGACATTAGGAAAAATTTCTTTACTGAAAGCATGGTCGAGTATTGGAAGAGGCTGCCCAGGGAAGCAGTGGAGTCAGCATCCCTGGAGGTGTTCAAAAAACAGGTAGATGTGGCACTTCGGGAAATGGTTGAGTGGGCATGGTGGTGTTTGGTTGGCAGTTGGACTTGATGATCTTAAAGGTGTTTTCCAACCTAATGATTTTATGACTCAGAATTAACATGCCATGACATGTGATCTGAGGAGTGTTTTAAGGACTTCGCTGACCGATTCATTATGCTAAAAGTTTCCCAGTTAAAGACTTACACTGTCAAGCAAGCTCTACAGTCATTCACTATCAATGCTGCAACACAGTTATGGAGTTAACTTTACAGGCTTGATTCAAGTCAGAACAGAAGATGCTAGAACCACAGTGGATGGGATTATTTTAATATTTCAAAAGCAGTACCAGTTTGGAGACCAAGGAATTCTGGAAGGAGCTGTGAGGCAGAGCTTGTTGTTGGTTGTTATCCAGGTAGGAGACAGCTTGAGAGTTTCGGGCGGCAAAATAAGCAGATGTGATCATCAAGCATATGGAATTGGAACATTTTGAAATTAGTTGCCTTGCAGACCATAAAAACTTTGTTTTACTGAGATTATTAGGATGGAGATAGTTCTCTGGATTGATATGGGAAAACATTAAAAAAGGACTGGCTGATATACTGCTTCCACCCCTAAGCAGTTCATATTTTGGACTTGCACATGAAAGGACTAGCAATTTAAGAGACCTAAAATGACATGAAAGTAAACTTTTGCAAGAGTTGTTGAAATCAAGCATGTATGACCACACTCATCTAAAAGCATAAAAACTTTTAATGC